TATGTAGGGCTGCATCCATGTTATTTCTGTGAATTTTATACATTCCATTCACTCTATATATACTAGATTGCATGGTTCCATAATATCTCATGTACCCATCTCCAATTAATCTCATATCATGTGTACCTCTATCTATTGGCAAGTGGAACATTAAGTGCATCAAGAGCATTGGGAGGTTGTCTACCTCACCCAGTTCTGATAGATAGAACATTGCATATTTATGGGCGCAGTATTTGCATCCCTGCATCGTTCCTGCCATAGATAATATACCTATTCTATAGAAAATATCAGACAATGGTTCCATATATTTTTGGTATGTGGTATATAGTAAATTACACATTCCATTTTTACTAAGTAAATCGAAGCGTCTGCCTGACGGATTCCAAAGTGGGTTTCCTGTTACTTGATTCCTGTAAGACATCTTAAGCATGGAGTTATTATCAAGCATTTGATTTTTTCAGACAAACATAAAGCAATACTTATCCCTAAAATTACTAAAAACCAAAGGTTGCTACCTTTATCCATGTGTAAATTGGTGTACATATTAGATCTAATCTGACTAATCTGCCTAAATAATCCCAAAAGCTGCATTTCTGCATCTGTTTTGCCCAGTCCTTGTGTATGTATGTATTTGTTCTTAACAGATTCACTAGATTATGCATTTGTGCTTGTGATGGATGTATGGCTGCATCTTGTTCCTTAATTTTGTTATGTATGGATTCTAGTTGTTTCTGATTGAAATCTGCAATGTGTTGTAACTCCATTGCTTGTTTTACAAATGTTTGGTGATGTTCTAATTCTGTTGGATCATTAAATAAGTGTGAGCCATCAAAATAATGTTTCTCTTCTAGTGTTAAGGTGGTCACTCATTGTTTGGTTATGTTTTTACCATCATAATTAGTGAAATTCATTTGTAGGATGCTACAGGTGTACCATATAGCATCCTGATTCTGTAATATTGAATGTTGTGATATCATCATTCATTGTGGTTTCATTAAGATTTATGCAGCTAACTAAAGTAGGTAAATATTTAGCACATATTAAGAAAGTGTAATCTCCTGTATCTTCTAGTGACTGTGTGATGGTAGTTACTGCCAAGTGACCTTGGGGACCCCAGTAACAGCAGGGAGGTTAGGCTGAACTCAAGGGTATTTATGGAAAAGGTCTGCGGGTCATTTGCTGTGGGAGGTTAGCAGCATGGCCATCAAGCTGGCTCCTGGAGAAGGCATGTCTACCAGACAGATGCTGGAGCCTTGGACCACAGGAGTAGGATGGACCGTGGCTAGTGGGGGTGACAGATTCTACATGAAGTTGAGGGGACACTGTCCAAGTTAACTCAGTCACAGCTATTGGGGGCCATAGAGGTTTCCTAGTGAGATCTGAGCTTGCTTTACCCAGCAGGACTGCATAAGGGGATGAATGGACCACAGGCCTGGGTACCAGGTGTTTGGAAGGGTCTATACTTGGTTGTATTGAGCAAAGAGATGGTCTTTTTCCCCTCCCCTTGGCATTGTTATAAAAAGGCCTTTTGAATAAAGTTCTGGGCTAGTAGATAAGCATCCAGGCCCTCCTAAGGCTATCCTGTGTTTCTGTCTTTCTCTCTTCTGTCTATATTTGTATCTAAATCTCTTATCCCTCACTCCTCAAGAGTACCCAGGCAGAGGTGGGGGCACAGAGTCATCAACATCAGGGATCTTTTATTTCTTTGGACATTCTGACATCTTTCCAAAGAGAAAGCTTTGATTTTAACTGTAGAGGGTATTTGATTTTTGTTTTTAATTAAATTAATTTTTTTTTTTTTTTTTGGTTTTTCGAGACAGGGTTTCTCTGTGTAGCTTTGCGCCTTTCCTGGAACTCACTTGGTAGCCCAGGCTGGCCTCGAACTCACAGAGATCCACCTGGCTCTGCCTCCCGAGTGCTGGGATTAAAGGTGTGCGCCACCACCGCCCGGCAAATTAATTTATGTTTTGATACAGTCTTTCTGTATCTCAAGCTGGTTTCCAACCCTTGGTCCCTCTGTCACAGCCTCCAAAGTGCTGGGGTTATTGTAAGGATTCTGTATAGGAGCAGCTCGTCCAATGCCTTATTACGTCATCAGCAGGTGACTGCATCCCAGCCTAAAAGCCGGACGTGCACCCCACGCTCTCTCTTTGCACTCTCTCCATGCTCGCTCCATCTTCCAGTCTTTCTCTGTGTGTCTCTCTCTGCTCTCGGTCTCTCTCTTTCTCTGCATCTCTCTCTATCTCGGTCCTACCCCCTCTTCTCTCTAATAAAGCCCATTCTAACTCTGGTAACCATGGCTCGTGACTCTTCTGCTCGTGACTCTTCCACCATCGACCAAACCAGCGCCATATACCCTTTCAGTTATAGGTATATGCTGCTACATATGGCTATCATTTTTATCTTTGATTCTCTCAGACAAGTTATTACTATATAACTCAGAAAGACTGAAACACTCTATGTAGGTCAGGCTGGCCTTGTACTCATGGCCATTCTCCTGTTCAACCTCCTGAGTGTGGGATTAGATACATGTGTTACCATGTTTGGCTAGTTAGTTTACTTCACAGGTTAATTTCTGGGACTGGGAAGACAGGTAAAGAGCTCAAAAGTATGTGAGGCCCTGGCCAATCAGCCATGAGAGACCCTAAGTCTCAAAAAAAAAAAATCCCAAAGTGGACAGTACCCTAGGAACAACACCCAGGCTCTCCACACTCAGGTGCACTCATGCACACTCACACACACACCCACACCACAAGTGCATTCACATATGATGTGCATTTGCCCCCACCCCATATGAACACACACTAGCACACAACATTTCTGCTTTCTAGACCCTCCTTCACCACTACTACAGCATTTACTCAAGGACATCGCCTTGAAGGATTTATAAATGTTACTGAGTCAAAAGTACTGGTCAGAGGAGGGATCTTTGGTATAGACATCAGCCACAAGGAAGTTAGTTAGCCTTTAGAAAGAAGTAAATGGGCAAATCTGTGAGAAAGAACTGGTTTTGACAGGAAAGATGGAGCCACAGAGATTTGGCAAAACAAAGAAGGAGAATGGCAGAAGGAAAAATTGTTTTGCTTTCTCCCCTTCCTCCTCCTCCTCTTCTCCTCCTCCTCCCCACCCCTCCTCGGTGTCATCTTCCTGGTCTCCTAGAGACAGGGTCTAGCTATGTATCCCTGGCTGACCTGAAATCAGCTGTAGTCTGTCTGGTCTCAAACTTGGCCCAAGGTCAGGATCACCCTGCTAGGTTTTTCTGCATTCTTCAATTTTAGGAAAGAGGGTGTTGACCTGGTCAGAATGTCTAAGAGGAAGTAGAAAACAAAGAAGGAGGTCATGAAGGTCAAGGCTAGGCTAACAAACGACCTCCAGCTGCTGGGCTGCTGCTGGCTGCTGCTCAGTTTGGAATCTGATGAGGCATGAAGCCAAACACTCAGGTTGGACCATTGCCACACTTAGACACTGCTGCCTGGAAGGAGATCCCAGAAATCAGGATCTTGAAACAGGATGAAGCAGGTGGTGACTGACACTCTGGGAAGGAGATTTGAGGAAGGTGGCTTGTGGCAAATGTTCCCCTCTTCCCAGAGTGAGCAGAAAACAGAGCTGGAAGCAGAGCAGTCGTGTCCACTAACCCGTGATCTCTTAAAATCAGGGCTCACACTTGCTGTGTTCTTAGTGCCTTGCCCATGGTAGCTATAGGAAATAAAACTATACATTTGACAGCCACCTTCAGAGACTAGAGAAATTAGTGACTTACTTTTGTGTCCCGCAAAAGTCTGGTGAGGTACAGAATCCACACAGCCAGGGTTCCAGGCTTCTGCTGTCATCCTGTTCTGTGAACTCTCAAGAGTTGACTTCATCTGCACATTGAAGATGGTCATTAGTGCAAGAGTCACATTAGTGCAAGGGTAGAAAGGTGATGGTGAGAGCTTTCCCCAGGGGTGGGGCAGATTCACACTCCCCCACACCTTTCTGAACAACAGAGCCACGGAAGCACATAGAGTTGCTATGGAGAAAAGAGGAAATGGAGAAGACAAAGGATGGGCTTCTCTTGCCTCTTGCCAAACTCCACCCTACAGTGAGAAGCAAGAAATCTCACTGAGAAGAGGAACAACCTACATACAGATACTGAAAGAGGAAGTGTGTATGTAGACACATCATGTGCTCATCACTGCAATCCACAGCCATGGACACATGCAATGCACCTAGCAGGCCATCTCTGGACCTGTGGCACCCTCCCTGTGTCTCTTCAGGGTCTTCCATTGTGATCTAGGCCTTCCAAGGAGCAGGATGCAGGCAGGTCCCTCTCAGGCAATAGAGGCAGGTGCGGCAAGCAAATGCCTACTGTGGGCTGCATGACAGACTGAATAAACAGCAAAGGAAAGAAGGAGGTGGAGCACCAACATCATGTCTCTGCTTTCCACTCGTGGATGCAGCGTCACCAGCCACCTGACACCCACCACTGTGCATTTTCCATCATGGTGGCTAATTCCTCCAAACCATGAGCTCAAATAACCCTGCCCTCCTCAAGCTGCTTTTGGCCCATTATTTGGTCACAGTAAGGAGAAAAACAGCTAACACAAGGCCTTTGGGAAGGAAGGGAAGAAGAGAAAGAAGAGAAAGATAACAGACAGAGAGATTGATGACAGTGTCTAGTAAATTTTTGTCAACTTGATACAAACTAGAGACTCCTGGAAGAAAGAACCTCTATTGAGCAATAGTCTCCATCAGACTGGACCAGTGAGCTCGTCGATAGGGATATTTTCTTGATTGCTAATTGATATGGAAGGGTTCAGCATCTTGTGCCCAGATTGTAACCCCCAGAGAGACCACCGAGGGCGAACATACCAGAATGCAAAAGCAAGGTTTATTTCCATTACAAGTCACTGCGACAGGGAACTCTATCTCAAGCACTCACTGGTCACAGCCCAGTGAGGCAGGGAGGAGTTACTCTTTCTTGGGGAAGTTAGTTTTTATAAGCAAAACCCACAAAATCTCTTAGAGGAGAGGGGGTTAGTACAGGTCTATCCTTGATTGGTCCAGTTTTTCCTGGGCCTGGACTTTGTCTTATTTCAGCTTCTCTGTTTGCCCTGTTAGGAGTTTTACAACCCATCTCTGGGGTCTGGTCATGTTATCTCTGGAGAGGGGCATCTCATGGTTAATCAGTCACCACCAGACATCCTGACTTTGTTCTTTTGAAAACACCTGACTTCACCCTCTCCAGGAAGGGGGAACTGACTCAGTTCTGTTTATTTTTAAGATATCTCTCCCCTCAGCTCTTTTGAGTTTCTGGGGGAACTGTGTCTGGGTCTTTGGTGGGGGTCTTTCACAGCACACCATGTGTGATGCCACCCCTGGGCAGATGGTCCTGAGTTCTATAAGAAAGCAGGCTGGGCAAGCCATGTAGAGCAAGCCAGTAAGCAGCTTTCCCCGAGGCCTCTGCTTCAGTTCCTGCCTCCAGGTTCCTGCTGAGTGCCTGCATGCTTCCTTCAAAATGTACTTGACATGGAAGACAAATAAAGCCTTTCCTCCCAGCAAGTCGGTCTTGGTCAGTGTTTTATCACAGCCACAAAGCTCAGACTAGAACAGATAGGTAGATGGATGAATAGATCAGAGAGACAGAGAGATCTGTTTACCTCACCACTTGACTGACACCCAGGGTGGCTTTTTCCTATTTGTAAGTGACATAAACTCTCTCCCTCATGATCGAGCTTCTGCCTCCATCTTGATCCCCTTTTCTCAATCATTCTCTTTTATATTTATTTATTTTCTCAGGACTGGGTATCTCTGTGTAGCCCTGGCTATCCTGTAACTCGCTCTGCAGACCAGACTGGCCTCAAATTCACTGATAGCCACCTGCCCCTGACTCCCATGTGTGGAGATTAAAGGCATGAACCACCACCACTGGACGCTCAAGATCCTCTTTATTGGTCACTATATTCAGCCTCATAAAAGATAGATCCTATGGAAAAAAATCTGTAAACAGGTTACAGTGTGTTTAAAAATGTACAAAGGCTTGGGAGAGAAAAGAAAAGGGATATAGACAGTCACACACACACACACACACACACACACACACACACACACACACAGGTATATATCCAAAAAAGAAACCATTAATCTCAAAATATCTTACATTGGTATGGATTTTTGTTTATTGACACAAATTTAAAGTTAATTTTGTTATACTGCATTTATGTTTCTACTCTTTTGTGGGGAATTGTGTTTATACAGCTCATTTAAAAATGCAATGTGTAATTATGAAATACAGAGTAATAGTTAGCTACCTATTACAATCAGTCTTATAGGTCATGTTAGGTATGTTTACAAGGTCATCCATAGATATACGTAGATAGACAGATGGTCCTTGAACACATCAAAGACCTACAGAATATGGCATTTAATGTGTTTAATAGCCTAAAACTTTTCATAACACTGAGACATTTCTGTTCCTGGCAGCACTAATCTACTTCACAAAAGATGATGGGCATAGAAGAAACTCCATAAGCAGTTAGCATTCTTCGTGTCAAAAGCTAACCACTGGGCAAAGGAAATCCCCTCCTCAATTGCTAACAGTATACAGTCCAAACTGGATTAGCAGGACACACACAAAAAAGCAACTGCCAAACTTTGCCAAGAGAAAATTCTCTGCTTCTGAAAAATGTCTATTAGGTATGCTAGGCCTGTAGGCCCAAGTTAGATGCTCCAGCATTACAGAAGTTGACTGTCCAGATAGTCAAATGTCCCTGTTGCTAGGTAACATTTCATTCTTCTGTGTTCTTGGATGGAGTTTGTCTTAGTTTGTGTTTCTGTTGCTGTGAGGAGACACCATGACCACGGCAACTCTTCTAAAGACAACATTCAATTGAGGTGTCTTGCTTAGTTTCAGAGCTTCAGTCAATGGTCGTCATGGCAGGGATCATGGTGGTGGGCGGGGAGATGTGGTGCTGGAGCTGAGAGTCCTTCATCTTGACTCAGAGGCCAGAGGAAGTCGACTGACTGCCACACTGAGTGAAGCTCGAGAAAAGGACCTGCAAGCCGCCCCACAGTGACACACACTCCAACAGAAGGTGGTGTTGGTTTTATTATTATGCGGCGCTGTTCACCATGAGAGAAAAGCTACGAGGCACAACAAACCCCACTTTGAGAGTTTATTAGAAGGGAGGGACAGGAAAGAGTGTGCTCAGGCCTGTTTGGGAGACATGTGCGGAGAGAAAGGAAGAAGAAGAATGGGGAAGAAGAAAAGGAACGAGTCTGTAACCCGCTTTTTATGGACTCCCCTGCACATGCACTTAGGGCTCCCATAGCTAGGCCACACATGGGCATAGATTTCATGGTCACACTGCATGCAAATTAGGTGGCCACACAGCACACGGATAATGTAGGATGTAAGGCCCCTTGCTTGGCTACTGAACAATATATGTGCGGTCATGTAGCAACAGGTGTGGCCCAGATTAAAGGTGTGCCATTCAGCCTTCCCCAACAAGACCATGCCTCCTCCAACAAGGCCACACATCCTAATAGTACAACTCCCTATGAGCTTATAGGGGCAAAATACAATCAAACTACCACATTGCACTTTCTGGCCCCCATAAACCTTTAACAGTATCATAATGTGAAATGCATTTAGTCCAATTTCAAACGTTCCATAGTCTATCAAAGTCTCAACAATGTTTAAAAGTCCAAAGTATCTTCTGAGATTCATGTAATTACTTAACTAAAATTCCCTGTAAAGCCAAAGCAAAAAGCAGGTCACAGACTTCCAATGTATAACGGCGTAGAATATACATTACCATTCCAAAACGTAGGGAAGGGAGCATAGTGAGGAAACACTGCACAAAGCCATGTGGCAGAATGTAGATGAACATAAAAGGGTTAATTTAAGTTATAAGAGTTAGCTAGTAACAAGCCTTAGCTATTGGCTGAGCATTTATGATTCATGTTAATCCTCTTTGTAGTTATTGGGGAGTGGGATAATGGGACAGAAAAGTTCTCCTAAATGTGTGTGCACACCATTACACACATACACACAAATACATACTCATACACACAATGATTTTTTAAAGGATACTACTCAAGGAGAATCAGATAGGACATGGATGATTTTTGCTGAGATCTAGAGATACTGCTGTTTGTAGATCAAGGAGGCTGTGAGATGGGAAGCAGGACTCTGTAGCTTCCACCAATTTTTCTCCTTTTCAGCTCCCCCCAGGGGCCCCCCCACCCGTTCTGGGTTAGTTGTTCTGTGACCTTGGAGACCTGGAACCATAGGGCTTACTTGTGAGTCAGAGAAAGTCTGTTCTAGATTCCAGGGAGAACAAACATGCCAGAATAAATGACCGACTCCTGTCTCACAAGATCTCTCCCCAAGTGTCCAGAATGATGGTGGGGCTGACTCTTCTGGGTCCCTAACCAGATTCTATGAGTGCAGACAGTGCTGAAGGAATTTTGACGTAGTGTGGGGTCTGTGCTACATTGGTTATTTTTGGAGCTTTGATGGTGTCCTTATAGAATGGGCAATAACTGGTTAAAAACACAAGGTTATTGGACAGAATCTGCTTGTACAGCCTGTGGGACAGAGGACACAGCTAGACTTGGGATCACAGACCTCAGCTACTATTATCTATGTAGCAACAGCAAGTTACTTCGAGTTGCCCTTGATGTGGGAGGAAGAAGGAGATGAATTAGTGGGTGGTGTGGTTTCTTCATGATCTGTTTTTGCCAGATCAGGGGTGTTTGAGGCAGATGGGAGTATGTTTGCCTGATATTTCTGCTCAGGGACATCCATCGCAGAAGAAGTGAGAAAAAAAAAATCTATCTTCATATCGTGAGCAAATGACAGAGAGTTCTGGCAATCTCCATGGAAGATTTTGTTTCTTTCTCTCTATTATTAATTAATGTATGTATGTATGTATGTATGTATTTGTGACAGGGTTTGTTTGTGGAGCCCTGGATGTCATGGAACTCATTCTGTAGATCAGGCTGGCCTTGAACTCACAGAGATCATTCTGACTCTGCTTCTTGAGTGCTGGAATTAAAGAAGTGGTCAGCCACAGCCTGGCTTCTTTCTTCCTCCCATCCTTCCTCCCTCCCTTCCTTCATTCGTTTGTTTGTTCGTTCGTTCCTTCCTTCCATTTTTTTTCTTTTTTTGAGACAGTGTCTCTGTATAGCCTTGTCTTTCCTGAAACAGTCTGTAGACCAGGCTGGACTCAAGCTCAGAGATTCACCTGCCTCTGCTCCCCTTCTTCTGAAATTAAAGGTGTGCACCACCACCACCACCCAGCCCACTTCTTTCTAATGCAGCCCTCTCCTACTTACGTGACATCTCTCTCTCTCTCTCTCTCTCTCTCTCTCTCTCTCTCTCTCTCTCTCTGTGTGTGTGTGTGTGTGTGTGTGTGTGTGTGTGTACATACCACTGAGTTTAATTAGGAAGCCGTATTTCTCAGATATATGGTTAAACATCTGTATGGTGGCCCACAGACTTTGTCCTCCAGGGAACTGGGGCCCTAAAAAGAAACATGACTTATCTTGTATTTTCTCCTCCACTGGAGGCCATCAGAGGAAGAAAGGCCTAGGAAGCACTGTAGAATGTTCTGAGAAAGGGAGAACCTGAGTGGGTTCCAGATTCTCAGCTGTCCCTGCTATAAGAGGTGGCTGACCCCACAGTACCCCAGAGTCATGGTAAGGCTGACCACATTCATTTCCTCATAGAAATATTCTTTTCTAGTCTGGTGAGACGGATCAGTTGGTAAAGAGCTTGCCTTCCTTGTAAGTGCAAGCACATGAGTGTATCACCACAGCCCATGGGTTTTATTATTTTGTTTTGACGTGTGTGTGTGTGTGTGTGTGTGTGTGTGTGTGTGTGTGTGTGTGTTGTAAACCTCGAGCAGTTTTGTGTGCTTGTAATGCCCAGATAGGAGGTAGATTCAGGTAGATACTTAGAATTCCCCACCAGCTGGCCTGGTCTACTTAGCAAAGGTCCAGGGCAATGAGAAATCCTGTCTCAGACAACAGTACAATGACACCTGAATTTGTCCTCTACATACACATATGCACCCACAATGTGTAAACACACAGACACACACACATACACACACACACACACACACACACACACACACACACCAGGGAGAGAAATAGTATTTTGTGTCTTTTGGAAGGTGTTTCTCCCTTACTGGGCATCAGAACGCTGGGCCTTCACCAGGCCAACTTCACCTCCTCCAGAGCACCTCTGAGGCCTGTTCACCCAGAGGACCGCACTGAGCATGCCCAGGAGCAGGGGCACCTCCAGAAAGACCAGGAGCTTGAAGTAGATGCTGCTCAGCAGGGGCCTGCAGGAAATGAAGGAGACAGAAAGTAAGCTGTCACCAGGCATAGAGGTCTCAGGCTTCCTCGTGTCCATGTCCTACCTTCAGTGACCAGATAAGGACAAACCTGGATGCAAGCAGGATGGCCTCCCTGCAGGTCCTTGGCTGGTCAAGCTGCCTGCAGGCTAAGCTCCAGCCTGGGGAAGCTTCGCCTGATTCCCACCTCTCTTCTTGAACCACTCCCTTCTCTATTTGGCTGACTGTGTGAGTCCACAAAGATTTCAACTTTGGGTTTGTCTCAAGGTTAGAGGGTCAGAGTTGATGTTGACTCCAAGGCTGCATAATAGGGTGCAAAGGCATGGTCACCGGTGTCTTACACTTCAAGGCCTAATCACAAGATGCTTTGCCATGGGCCATGGGTTACCAGGTGTTTGGAAGGGTCTACACTTGGTTGTACCCTGTGCTTTGATCTTGAATGGGGGAGGTCTTTTGCCTCTCCCCTTGCTAGTGTATAAAAAGCCCATTAGAAACAAATTCAAGGCTGCTGGGTATTGACCCAGAGCCCTCCTAAACCTATCCTGTGTTTCGTTCTTCTTCGTCTCCTTCTATATTTCCTGTCTAGCATTTCTCAAATTCCTCACTCCCTCCTTCAAGGTTCACTGCAATAGGTCAGGTTGGAACCCCAACCCTGGTCTGCTGACAGCTGGTCTCCCAGAAGTCCTTCTCATCTGGTCTGCATTCCAGTCAGGCTGCAGGCTTCCCTGTTCCCTGACCTTTGGACCTTGGCTTCTGCTACATTCTTCACCCAGATTGCCCTGCCCAACCTCCTCACTGCCTATGTGGAAGCTGATATACATTTTAGGAGGCTTGGACACACTACATCGAGAAATGGTTGGTGGCTGCTCCTGCTCTGTCACATGAATTCATACTCATGTTGTAGTTTTTTTTGTGTGTGTTCCTTTATTATACCGCATGGACCATGAGGCTCTGAACAGTATTTATCCCCTATTCCCACCTCTCTGTCATTCTCATCCCTTCCCAGGACTCCATTTCCTTTCTTGACCATCCTTGATTTCTCTTTTGGCCCAACACAAGGCCATCCTGATCTCATCAAAGGATCTACAACTGCAGATACTCTGTGAGTCACAGGTTGGCATGAACATGTTCCTGGAAGAGAGAAGAGCTGCCACTTGTCAGACCATGCATCAGATGTGCTGACATGTTTCCCAGGACTGAGCTCTGTCCATGCTCTACAATCTCTTGAACTCTATACATTTCCTCTTACCCTCTGTGTCTCCATAACTAACACCCATTCCACTTACAAAACAATTTAACAAGAACGCTTCCAAAGCACTAGGAGAAAGAGAAAATTTAAAAAGTAATCCTCAAGCTCGCTTACAAGGTGGCAGTGTTTTGAGACATATTTGTCTACCTTAAGATTTAGTGGAAAGAAAGAACACAATAGAGGTCGGAGGGGAGCGGGACTAGATAAGACTTGAGGGACAATTCTCAGGGAGGGTTAGTGAGGTGACCTCTGCCTTTGCTATAGGGGGATGTGGGGGCTTGTGTTTTAGCTGTGTCCTTGACCTGGAGAATTAACCTCAGCAGGCTGGGAAGGAAATTATGCCAAAGCAGCTATAAGGTGCTGGGAATTCCTCTGGACACCTTCCAGAGTGACGAGCATAATACTGGCACAGCACCGCCCTCAGTTTCCCATGTCCTCCTCTGCACGGTGTGGACCCCACACTGGTTCCTGGCAGAGTTGCATTGGAACAAGGTTTGTTTATGAAGTTGGAGCAGGAGATGATGGGAGAAGAATCTCTTCTAACTCAGAGGAGATCCAACCATGGCCCTCTGGGGGACACATAGGGGAGACCCCAAAGACCAGGCTCAGTCTCTTTTGACACTCAGATAAAGATACTGCCTTCCTGTAGCTGAGTCTTAGAAGGGAAGTCTTGGTATACTAAAAGGTAAAAGGTTGGGGAGCCCACATCAAACTTTGACATGAGAATACAGCAGCCCCAGTGTCCCTCCAAGATACTTACTGAGTTTAGAAATAAAATTACAAGATGGCCAGGCCAATTTGATATTCAGATAAGTGACTTTTTCAAATTTATAAGTATAGCCATGTAATGCTTGAAATATACATAAGCTAGAATGAAAGGTTTTCATGTATCTTGGGACTCCTGGGCATCTTGTGTTTTATTCAGAGGAGAGGCCACAGGGACAGCCCAGTGATGGAAGAGCTGCTGGGGTCCAGCTCTGCTTACCAGGTGTGGGTGTTGGTTTGAGTCCCTCCATAGTTGCCAGTGTTCTCCATGGTTGACGCTGTGGTTGTCAGGACTGGGGCCATGATTGACACTATTTTAGTTGAAGTTTCTGGGGCTAAAGACACAAACAGCACATGGTTCACTCCTGTGGACAGTCCAGCTCTGGGTATGGCCTAATCTTTCCCCACTAGTAACTAAGGGATTTGCTCTCCAGTCACCATCCAAACCTTCACATTAATTCTTTTCTAAAGGAAGATGATGTGGGGAGCAAAGCAGCCCCCCTTGAAAACCCGCTTCCTTCCTGGCTCACTCATTACTGCCTGGTGTGCAATGTGCAGAAAAACTTCAGTTTTGCAGTTTCTCTCTATTTTTAAAAAATATTTATTTATGTGTCTATGAGTATTTGCTTGCACATATCTATGGGCACCATGTGTATGTGGGGCTTGTGGAGGCCAGGAGAGATCAGATCCCCTGGAACTGGAGTTGAAGATGGTTGTATGCTGCTGTGTAGACTGGGATCCAAACCCAGTCCTCTGGAGAAGCAGTCAGTGCTCTTAATCACTGCGCCCTCTCTCCAGCCCCAATTTTCTCTATTGTCTTTATTGTAGTTGTTTAAACAGACATAAATCTGATCCTTATTCCTCTATCTTATGCAGAAACAGAGCTTCTATGGCTTCATCTATTTTATGTAAAAGGGTGGTGTTGGGGGTGTCAGGATGGGAGTTTAGTTCAGTGGTAAGTGTATGGCTATCACACCTGAGGTTCTGAGTTCAGCCCCCAGATCTGCACAAGTGTGAATATGTAAGACTCACATGTGGGGGTGGGAAGACAAGGCCTCCCCAGCTCACCTTTATCTCAGTAGAAAACAGGGGCAGCGGAGTCGGCTGTGGTTATCTTTCCCAGTAAGACTGTTACAGTAATGAGTTCAGGGTCCCTGATTCCTCACCCAAGCCAGAAGCTTCTAGAATTTTTTCCTACCTGGGTCAATGTTCACATTAACTTTAAACGTGATATCAGGTCCAGTTTTCTCAATCCCACACCAGTAAATGCCAGCATCGCTTATCCTCAGGTCCTCCATGGTCACTGTGACGATGAAGTCTGTCTGGTCATCCCTGATGGACACACGGTCCTTCTTCACCAACTGCTCTGATGCATCGGTTTGAATGAGGATCTTACATGTTCTCCAAACTGCTCCTCGGCACCAGAATTTCTTGTAATTCTTCCAGGATGAGTCATAATGGAACTGCACAGTCAAGGATCCTTGTGCCTGACCACTCACCATGTTTGGCCCTGTGATTGGATCCTGAGCAGTGGAGCAGCCTGGAAAATACAAAACCACAGACAATTGATCTCCTACTCCAAGAATGGGACACAATATCCTGTGCTGAAAAGAGTTCACAACTTATCATCAATTAAGAGCAACCCCTTTCTCAAGACAGATCATCGCCATTCTATTGGTCAAAGACTCAAGAAAAAATGCTGAAGGGCCCAGTTACAGGTCTCAGAAGGTAAATGGTGACAATGAGCAATCATTTTTTTCTGTCATCCACACCTCTTCACTCCGCAGTGGACAATAAAATTACATTTCTAAAGATCCTTTTGCAACCACCTTTATGTTACCCTGAAGGAGAGGATGTGTCAGAAGGGATTGTGCACAGGACGCAATCCTGAGTTCATTTCAGTACCCGTGACTCTCAAAAGGTCCCTCAGAAGACATCACATTCTGTGGCCATGCAGAGGCCACTTCGGGAAGTCCAGCAGTCTCAAGGGGTTGTTTGTGTGTGTGTGTGTGTGTGTGGTACTTACAAAGGAAGCACAAAATAAACAAAATAAATACCTGCTTTAAAAACAGTAAAGGAAGCCCTTCAGGGGATTAGATTCAACAATAACAAATGGCACAGGTAAGAAACAAAGTCACTAAATGTAATTATTTCAAACTAAAATGACTCAAACCACAGAGTGGAGACCCAGATTGCAGCCTGGGAGAGCATCTTTTCAGACTATGTATCTGACAAGGAGTTAATTTCTAGACTATGTGAGCAAGAATTCAACTCAAGAGTCCACCAGCAGTCATAGTCCAGTAGAAAATGATCTACTGAGGCGCTGTGGTGAAGGTTTAGTCACGAGACACCTGCTGTGTTGGCCTAAGCATGAAGACCCGAGTGTGTGTTCCCAGCAACCATGTAAATGTCAGGAGTGCTGGTGTGTCCCTGGAGCCCAGCACAGAGGTGGACAGTAGACACAGGAGATCCTGGAATTCCTTGGCCATCCAAGCCAGCCTCAGTGTCAGTGTGGAACCCTGTCTCAAAAAATAAAGGAAGGAGTAGGGCATGGTGGTCCATGCTTTAATGCCAGCACTCAGGAGGCAAAGGTAGGCAGATCTCTGTGAGTTCAAGGCCAGCCTGGTTTACAAAAAAGTTGCAGGCCAGCTGGAGCTACATAGTGAGACCATGTACCAAAAATAAAATAAAATAAAATAAAGCGATAAAGTTGGGCATGCACACTTGCTCAGAACCACACACACATGAGCAGATGAACAGTAAACAGTTCTCAAAGGACATACAAATGGTCAATAAATAGATGGAGAAATGCTCCATTTCACTAATTGTCAGGAGGATTGATGCAAATCAGAATCACAGAGAGCCGTCATCATCCCCCAGTCAGAATGGATATTACCAAAAAGACAAAATTTAACAACTGTAGATGTGTGTGTGGGACAGTGGAAGTCTTATACGCTGTGGGTTGGAATGTAAATTAGACATTGTGGGAAACAGTATGGACGTTCGTCAGAAAAGCATAGAACTGTCACATAATTCAGCAGCTACACTCAGAGATAAAGCTTGTGTTAGTGAGCTTTTTGTCAACTTGACACCACCTGGGGGTATGCAAAGAAAGAACATCACCTGAGAAGATGCCTCCATCAGGCAGGCCTGTAGGCAAGTCTGGGGGACATTTTCTTGATATGGGGAGGTCTAGTCCACTGTGGGTGGTGTCATTCCTGGGTAATGAAAGAGAGCAGGCTGAACAAGCCTTGGGGAGCAAGCCAGTAAGCAGCACTCCTCCAGGATCTCTGTCTCAGTTCCTGCCTCCAGATTCCTGCCCATATTGAGCTCCAGCTCTGGATTCTCTCCATGATAGACTGTGATCCAGACATGTATGTAAACAAGCCTTCTCCTCCCCAAGCTGTTCTTGGCCATGGTCTGTATCACAGTGATAGAAAGCAAGCCCAGAGTCCAGAGAATTAGTGAGTTACTGCAGTGATCCTTCCCCTGTGTTTCCTGCAGCTGATTCACAAAAGCCATGGCACAGGATCAGCCTCGATGTGGATGGATAGATAATAAAGTGTGGTACATAAATGCAGTGGAATAGCATTGTAGCTCTATTGAATTTCATCATTTGCAGCCCAGGGATGGGATTGGAGGAAGTGAAATAAACCAGACACAGAAAGACACTACCACAGATTTCTATCTATATGTGGAAGCTAAAAACTTATCCTCTGGGTCTAGCGGATGGGGAGATGAACAGGTCAGTGAAGTGTTGGCTGCAGCAGCAGGAGAACCTGAGTTTGGATCTTCAGAACACATAGAAAAATTCAGATGAGGTGGGGTGTGTCTGTAGCCCTAAGAGCTGGGGAGTCAGGGACAGGAGGATCCCTGGGGATCCATCACTGGCCACTTAGGCTGAGTCAGTGAGCTCCAGGTTCAGTGGGAGAGCCTGTCTCAACAATCAAGGTGGGGAGGGATAAAGGTACCCAGTGGTAATCTCTGGCTTCCACATATGTGTGTGCACACACATATGTACTTGAGCACACATATAAACACACTAAACATTTACATATGCATACACCTCGCAGACAGATTTTTTTTTTTCAAAAAGCATGGAAGTTAACTTCAAAGAAATAGTGAACAGAATAGCCGTTATCAGCCTGGGCAGGGTGCCAGGGAAGAGGTGGACAGAGAGAGTGCTGAGGATGTAGGGGTCGTTTGATGAGTTGACGACGTCTAGTGTTGTACAACACAGCTGAGAAATATGTTTGACGATTCAGTATTTCAAATTACTTCATAGAGAAGATTTCCGATGCCTCTAGTACACAGAAATGACAGACTCCTGTGGTGGAATGTCAGCTACGGGGATCTGACCGTCACATCCTATATACACACATGCAGATATGACATTGTATCTATCAGTTTCTTTTCTCTTTTTGAGACAAATCTCCCTATATGGATCAGATGGGCCTTGAACTCACAGAGGTCCACCTATCTCTGCCTTCTGAGTGCTGACATTAAAGGTGTGCACTACCACAACCAGCCCCTATAAGTATGTTTAAATACTGTGTCAATGAAAAATCAGAATGCAACTCGAAATTGAGATGCATGCTAGAAATCCCAACAATCAGAATGGACACCAGAGTATCACAAATTCAGGATCATCCTAGGCTGCATGAGAGCCTATCTCAAAGTGCCAAATATAAAGTATAAACATATTTTTAAAATAATTCATTTATCCATTCACTCAACTGCTTTTGTGGAGCAACAGGATTGAGAAACACACTCTGGA